TCATGCAAAGTTGCATCCCCATTGCCTTCAATGCAAAACTGCGTCTCATAGACTTTCATGCAAATTTGCCCCCTACTGGCTTCAATGCAAAATCGTGTCTCATAGACTTTCATGCAGAGTCGTGTCCCTATTGACTTCAGTGCAAAAATACCCCCTAGTGACTTCAATGCAAAATCGCATCTCATAGACTTGCATGCAAAATCGAACCCCCATTGACTTAAAAAAAATTGTGTCTCATAGACTTTCATGCAAAGTTGCATCCCCATTGACTTCAATGCAAAACTGTGTCTCATAGACTTTCATGCAAATTTGCCCCCTAGTGGTTTCAATGCAAAATCGTGTCTCATAGACTTTCATGCAGAGTCGCGTCCCTATTGACTTCAGTGCAAAAATACCCCCTAGTGACTTCAATGCAAAATCACATCTCATAGACTTGCATGCAAAATCGCACCCCCATTGACTTAAAAAAAAATTGCGTCTCATGGACTTTCATGCAAAGTTGCATCCCCATTAACTTCAATACAAAACTGCGTCTCATAGACTTTCATGCAAATTTGCCCCCTAGTGGTTTCAATGCAAAATCGTGTCTCATAGACTTTCATGCAGAGTCGCGTCCCTATTGACTTCAGTGCAAAAATACCCCCTAGTGACTTCAATGCAAAATCACATCTCATAGACTTGCATGCAAAATCGAACCCCCATTGACTTAAAAAAAAATTGCGTCTCATAGACTTTCATGCAAAGTTGCATCCCCATTGACTTCAATGCAAAACTGCGTCTCATAGATTTGCATGCAAAATTGCACCCCCATTGACTTAAAAAAATTGCGTCTCATAGACTTTCATGCAAAGTTGCATCCCCATTGACTTCAATGCAAAACTGCGTCTCATAGACTTTCATGCAAAATTGCCCCCTAGTGGCTTCAATGCAAAATCGTGTCTCATAGACTTTCATGCAGAGTCGCATCCCTATTGACTTCAGTGCAAAAATACCCGCTAGTGACTTCAATGCAAAATCGCATCTCATAGACTTGCATGCAAAATCGCATCCCCATTGACTTCAATGCAAAAATGCCCCTAGTGACTTCAAAGCAAAATTGCGTCCAATAGACTTTCATGCAAACTCGCATCCCTATTGACTTCAATACAAATATTCCCCCTAGTGACTCCAAAGCACAATTGCCAGCCACATTAATTCAATTTTAAAAAATCTTAAAAACCATCTATCGCGGTCCTCGGCCAAGTGCATCCTGAATTTTCCGTTTCTGCACCAGAATTTTCATTTTGGTGCACCACTATGCCAAAGAATTTGTATTTCTAAAAAAAGAAGAGCTACTAAAAATTTAAATCTAGTTGGAGACATGAATAGAGAGGAATTACTTTGTCCAAAGGTTAAAAAAGTCCAGGAAATGGATATAATCTTTATTACAGGATATAGAACACAAAGAAGGGGGAAAAATCTTTAGGAAAAATTGGTGTATCCTTATGAGTGATCAATCTCTTATGCATACCCTGCCATCCACACCAAGGTTTGTGTATAAGAAGGCCATGGGCCTAACGCAGGCCATAGACGGTGCGAAAATCAGCCGATTTTTGCATCGATAGTGGATTAATTGGTCGGCCATTTTTTTTGGGGTTTTGGCACTTTTTTTTATCGGTAAAGTTGGAAAAAATCGTCCGATTTTGCCGATCGGCCGATTTTCCCGGCAATGATGGGCAAATCGGCTGATCTTTTTACCGATAAAAAATCTGCGCGTGAGCCGTGACCTGCAAGAAGAAGAAAAAGAAGAAGAAGAAAAAGAAGAAGAAGTAGAAGAAGAAAAGAAAAGAAGTAGAAAAAGAAGTAGAAGAAAAAGAAGAAAAAGAAGAAAACGAAAAAGAAAAAAGAAGAACAAAAAGCGGAAAAAAAAGAAAAAGAAGAAGAAAAAAACGAAGAAAAAGAAGAAAAAGCAGAAAAAAAAAGAAAAAAGAAGAAAACAAAGAAGAGGAAAAAGAAGTAGAAGTAAAAGAAGAAAAAGAAAAAAGAAGAAGAAGAAGGAAAAAAAGAAGAAGAAGAAGAAGAATTCCAGTCCGCTATTATATTTTATATGAAAACATCTTGCGGTTGCAACAATGTATCTATTTGTATCCAAATAAAACCATCTGTATCCAAAATGGATACAAATAGATACATTGTTGCAACCGCAATACTTTTTCATGTCAAATATAATAGCGGAGCTCTCTGCAGGGACAGAAGTAATTAAATGCCGGCCGTAGACGGGACAAAAATCAGCTGATTTTTTTTTACCGTTGGTGGTAACGTCGGCCGATCGAACAACCGATTTTTGGGTTTTTTTATAAAAAACCGTCCAGTTTTCGACCCGTCTATGGCCTGCATAAGGCTTGTTATTTAAAAAAATGTGGTAGAGCCCCCAGCTAGACCTCCCACTTTTCTAGACTCTAGGGCAGTGGCTCTCAACCTTCCTAATGCCGTGACCCTTTAATACAGTTCCTCATGTTGTGGTGACCCCCAACCAGGGGCGGACTGACCATCGGGCACTGCCCGAGGGCCCGGGGTCAGTAGGGGGCCCCATGAGATGCCCCTGGTACCTTTTTCATAGGCTTTTTTGAGATTGGGCAAGGACACAGGGGACCCATGATCCCCTATTGCCCGGGGGGCCCCATGAGTTGTCAGTACGCCCCTGCCCCCAACCATAAAATTATTGCAAAATGGTCAATCATTTTGCACCCTGGTCAATCGACTGAAGGAATTTGTTGGGAAGTGAAGGAATTTGTTGGATCTGAAGTAAAATTGAAGTGTGTATGGCCAGTATTCCCCCCCTCCCCCCCAGGGATATCAGCCCTCTCCCACACACCAAGTTGTCTGTCCTGAGGCTCCTTGTATGACCCTGGAAAGTTTGGGATTGCTGGTCGCTGTGTACTTCCCTCTAGCAGGCCGTGTGCCCCGGTGCCAGCCCTCGTACAAGTGCTGTGAGGAGAGGCCTCTGTGGGAGGTGAGCGGCACACGCTCTACGGGTAACCAGATCCCCCTCCCCGGAGACAAAGGGGGGCCTGGCTCACATCTATCCAGCTGTTGTGAGCAGCTGCCCACCTGGGGAAACATGCAGCAGGTGCAATGGCAGCCAATGGGAGGCAGCAGGGCACCTCTGACCCGTCCCTTGCAGGGGAGGAGCCTCCAGCCTGGCCGGCCGCTCATAACGCACAGGGAAGAGGGAGCGGGCCAGTCAGTGTGCTGGTGTTAGTTCAGCGTGAGAGGCTCGCAGCAAGCCGGGAGTGCGGGACACCCTGCCGAGCCCCTCCAACCGCTCTCACCACTGCCCAGGGGCGGACTGACCATTTGGAAACTCTGGCACTGCTCGGGGTCAGTAGGGGCCCCATGAGATGCCCCTGGTACCTTTTTCATAGGCTTTTTTGAGTTTGGGCAGGGACACAGGGGCCCCATGATCCCCTACTGCCCGGGGGCCCCATGAGTTGTCAGTCCGCCCCTGCCACTGCACATTAAAAACATCAAAAACAGGTAAAGACAACACAGTGTCTCTAACCACTTTCGGTTAAAACATAATAAAGATCTTAGCCTCCTTCAGTTCTGGGGTATAGATAAGGTAACAAAACATTGGAGAGGAACCAATTATCAAGGTCCTACCTTTCCTCAGGGCTTGTGCTGCGCCATGTGCTGGCATCCATCTTAGGTCTGCAAAGCATTGTGGGATCCTTTATGCTTTCAGCCCTCTGCAGCTCCTCCCAGGAGGTGGCGGCTTATCACATTTAAGTCTGCTGTTTGCAGCTGTCCATTGCATTCATGTCCTGTCTGTTGCACAGAAGCAAGCTCCTGTTTAGTTAACTCTTTGCTTTCCTGGATACCGATTTGGCTTTGGCTAAGACTCCTCCTGGCTTCTGACCCCGGCTCTGGCGACCATTCTTCCTGGCTTCTGACCCCGGCTCTGGCGACCATTCTTCCTGGCTTCTGACCCCGGCTCTGGCGACCATTCTTCCTGGCTTCTGACCCCGGCTCTGGCGACCATTCTTCCTGGCTTCTGATCCCGGCTCTGGAGACCATTCTTCCTGGCTTCTGATCCCGGCTCTGGCGACCATTCTTCCTGGCTTCTGACCCCGGGTCTGGTGACCATTCTTCCTGGCTTCTGACCCCGGCTATGGCGACCATTCTTCCTGGCTTCTGACCCCGGCTCTGGCGACCATTCTTCCTGGCTTCTGACCCCGGGTCTGGTGACCATTCTTCCTGGCTTCTGACCCTGGCTCTGGCGACCATTCTTCCTGGCTTCTGACCCCGGCTATGGCGACCATTCTTCCTGGCTTCTGACCCCGGCTCTGGCGACCATTCTTCCTGGCTTCTGACCCCGGCTTTGGCTACGATTCACGCTGGTTCTCAACTTGATTATCCTGGAAGACGACCTCGGGCGGGGGGAACTTCTGTCCTACCAAGTCATCCGCTGTTGCTGTCGGACTTGCCTTGTTTCTGTATAAATAAACCTACCTTTAATTGCACCTCCTTGTATGTCTGGCTCCTCGCTCCCTGACACCAATATGGCGTTAAAGGTATCTCAGATGGAGACCCAGTGGATCAACAGGCTCCAAATTCTGGACCCTAGGGGCCTTAATAGGGACATTGACTTAACCTGTTTCCTTACTAACTACTTATACCGATATATGTTCCACTCTTGGGCTAGTCCTAATGTTACCCACCCCAATAGGGGCGTGTTTGCACTGATTTATAATGTTCAAACCTTTTTGAGGAAGCGATCCAGACCTACCTAAAAAAAAGCTATTTATTAGCTAAACTTCCAAGGGGCCACTTTTGCCCCATTAAGAAACAGGGGGATGCACCCCATGTAATAAAAATTTGATTAACGAGGTATCATGTATATACTGATAATGGGGAAATACCACCTTCTACCCCCAAGTAGCCCTATATGATTATTCTTTCGGGGGGGATCCCCACCTTGGCATTACTATGATTGCTTTGCTGAGAGTGTGGATCTCCCATTATCCCCCCCTGGAGGTATTCCCGAGTGTAGCTCGGGGTAAAGTTTCAGCACCACAACGGTAACCCCGAGCTACACTCGGGAATACACTGCAGCGTTGCTCCGGGATCTCTTCTTCACTTACCTTGTCCTGCACTCCCACGATGTGTCCCTCCTGCAGTGTCCTCGGCAATGTCCTCCGGCAGATGCCAACATCAGGACGTCACAGGGGATGGAACTGGCGGGAAATTTAAAAATGTGAAAAAGTGACATTCACTAAAATCACATACACCCTGTTCCAAATTATTATGCACATTCTATTTAAGTGTCACAAAGATTAAATATTTTGTTTTTCAGTTTAACTCATGGATGGCATTGTGTGTCAGGGCTCTTTTGATCACTGAAAACAATCTCGGACACCTGTGATAATTAGATTGGCCGGTGAGCCCAATTTAAGGAAAAACTACTAAAGGACGGTGTTCCACATTATTAAGCAGAGCACCATTGGACCTTGGACGAGGTATGAAAACATTAGATATTTCACGAAAACTTAAGCGTGATCATCGCACTATTAAGAGATTTGTAGCTGATTCAGAGCACAGACGGGTTGGTGCAGATAAAGGCACATTGAGGAAGATTTCTGCCAGATCCATGCATCGGATCAAGAGAGCAGCTGCTAAAATACCATTACATAGCAGCAAACAGATAATTGAAGCTGCTGGTGCCTCTGGAGTCCCACAGACATCAAGGTGTAGAGTCCTCCAGAGTCTTGCAACTGTGCATAAACCTTCTATTCGGCCACCACTAACCAATGCTCACAAGCAGAGAAACGGCTGCATTGGGCAGAAAAATACATGAAGACTAATTTTCAAAAAGTCCTGTTCACTGATGAGTGCCGTGCAACCCTGGATGGTCCAGATGGATGGAGTAGTGGATGGTTGGTGGACGGCCACCCTGTTCCAACTTGGCTGCGACGTCAGCAAGGCGGTGGTGGAGTGATGTTTTGGGCCGGAATCATGGGAACAGAGCTGGTTGGCTCCTTTAGGGTCCCCGAAGGTGTAAAGATGACCTCTGCAAAGTATGTGGAGTTTATGACTGACCACTTTCTTCCCTGGTACAGAAGGAAGAACTATGCTTTCCGTAATAAAATCATCTTCATGCATGACAATGTACCATCTCATGCTGCAAAGAATACCTCTGCATCAATGGCTGCTATGGGGATAAAAGGAGAGAAAGTCATGGTGTGGCCCCCATCCTCCCCTGACCTCAATCCTATTGAGCATCCTCAAGCAAAAGATCTATGAGGGTGGGAGGCAGTTTACATCCAAACAGCAGCTCTGGGAGGCTATTCTGACATCTTGCGAACAAATTCAAGCAGAAACTGTCCAAAAACGCACAAGTTCAATGGATGCAAGACTTGTGAAGCTGCTATCAAATAAGGGGTCCTATGTTACAATGTAACGTGACCTGTTAAAATGTTTACAAAGTTAAAATGTTGTTAAAAGTTTGATTGAAATAGCTTTTGATTTCAGTAAATATGCTGCAAACACAACAAATGACAATTTTCAGTTCTTTACAACCTATAAAGTGTTTTGAAACTTACTGTGCGGAATAATTTGGAACAAAAATCCTGTTATCATTAGGAGGTTCGTTCAATAAAATGTGAATTGTACTCTTAATGGTTGATAACATGAGAATTATGCCGACTGTATTTACATCAATTATTTAGGTAAATAAGAAATATAAAATTTGCATAATAATTTGGAACACGGTGTAGTATAACATTCCTGTATCAAACCATTTCACATACATTTTGTCCCGAGTGCTTTGTCCTGCGCCCTGCCTGCATTTTTACTGTTCTCTCTGCCTGGAAACTGAGAAACGTCCATGGCGTCCAAAAAGCGTCCCTTTAGGTCGAAAGCGGTTTTAGACCGGCTAGAGAACAGCGATAGTAAATCAGAACCACTTGCAGAATTGAGTGATAATGATTCGTGGGGGAAATTCGTCATCAGACACTGAAAACGATTTGCGACTTTGCTCAGTGATGTGCGAACTTGGCGCTCTATTTCAAATTTCAGTGTTTTTGGTTTGATTGTACATTATTGAATTAAAATTATTATTACTTTTTATGATTATTTATTTTATTATAATTTATGATTTCGTGTTTCAAGTTTTATCATACCCGGGAAGTTTACTAGACTCTTGTTTGGACAGATTTCAGTGAGTTATTCCTAAAAATTACAGGCCTACAATAAAAAAAATACATATTTCCATGCAAAAAAATGTACCGCTTTGAGCACAGAGATATGGACATAATCAGACCACTAGGGAGGCTATGATATACAGGGGTTTATTTACTAAAGCTGGAAGTGCAAAATCAGACTCCCTTCTGCATAGAAACCAATCAGCTTCCAGGTTTCATTGCCAAAGCTTCATTGAACAAGCTGAGGTTAGAAGCTGATTGGTTTCTATGCAGAAGGGAGTCTGATTTTGCACTCTCCAGCTTTAGTAAATAAACCCCTTAGAGTCAGAACCTTATAATGCAATTTAATATCAGTAACACAGAGTCTCTTCAATTTATCTATATTCCTAGATTGTAAACTCGAAAGAGCAGGGCCCTCGATCCCCTCATGTTTTGCATTGTATTGGTATTGTTCTGTCACATGTTCTGTCCCCCTCTGTAATGTACAGCGCTGAGCAAACCATTGGCACTTTATAAATACTGTATAATAATAATAATAATATACTCAATTTTATGTATATCCTCACTTAGGGAGATTTCTGTCCCCACTACTACATGTGCAATTGGTCATATATCTAAAAAAACATAGGACATGACCAATTTTTTTAATTCACCTACCAATTAGGTTTATTGGTGAAAAAAGTTTTATTTTAGTTACTTTTCGGGGTCCCAGATGACTTACTGAGGGATAAAGGAAGCATTTTGTTTCCCAGCCCTGGTGAGTTCAGTAGTGCATTCGCAGATCTTAGTCCTGTTAGATGCACGAGTTACATATATATAATTCCCGGGTTTGGAGCTTCCAGCTATACGATCGTAACCTTTTTGTTATATAACCCTTTAATCATGTATCCATTCATAATCATATTATTGTTTAGTAATTTAATATTGTTTATTTAATTGTAAATTTTATTTATGTATTGCTGTAAGAATGTATTGATTTGTAAACATTAACTAACTTTCATTGATATTATAACTAAATTTATAACTAATTGTATATTAGTATCTTCCGTTCTAATATTTGGAGTTGAGGGGCACTGCATAAAGTTATTAATATATTGCTATGTTCTTATATCAATTGGTGATTTAGCATAACATCATATACATAGTAGAAACATATCAATGCTCCATTGTTTTAATATATGTATATGTTATATTCACTCCTTGTGCTTAGGGGTTTTTTTTGATGGAAGAACCAGTGTTTCACAGCATGTTTAACCACTTTCACCCACTTCCTGCCCAGGCCAATTTTCAGCTTTCAGCATTATCACACTTTGAATGACAATTGCGCGGTCATGCAACACTGTACCTATATGAATTTTTTAGCATTTTTTTTAGACAGATAAAGCTTTATTTTAGTGGTATTTATTCACCGCTAGGATTTTTATTTTTTTTTGCTATTTAAATGAAAAAGACCAAACATTTTGAAAAAAAGTGTTTTTCTTATAAAATTTAGCAAGTAAATAATATTTCATCATAAATCTTGGCCAAAATTCATTCCGTTATCTTTTTAGTAAAAAAAAAAATAACACAAACTAGTTTATAACCAAAAATTATAATGTAAAAAAAAAAAACTTTTACATTTTTTTTTTTTTTTTTTATATTATTATTTATGTTTTTTGTTTTGTTTTTTTACATACTGTCACCCTAGCAGTACAGTGTCACCATTTTTTTTACACTGATTGCTTTTACACCCATATAGGATGTAAAAGCAATCATTTCTCCATCTCTCTGGCTGCATTCTTACAGCCATTGAGAAATACTGAGTGAGCTGTGATTGGTCACAGCTTGTCACTTGGTACAAGGCTGTTGTGAATAGCCTTGTACCATGTGATCTCTGTGATCATTCACAGATTTCACACATCGTAAGCAATGATGTCAGAAGTGACATCTTGCTTACTACTCTGCATGTGATCACTGATTGGCTAATCAGTGATCACATGATCGGGACCTTGCACAGAGTTCCTGTCCAACGATCGGTGTTTCACTGTGTCTGGAGGATGATCTGTGATCATTCACAGATTTCACACGTAGTAAGCAATGATGTCACAAGTGACATCTTGCTTACTACTCTGCATGTGATCACTGATTGGCCAAGCACTAAGTTTCTTGACCGATATATGGAATCGGTCATGTTTTCGGAACGGTCCAATTATCTTTCAGTATTCTTGCTGACTGGTGTCCAATGAGGAACCAGGCGCAATCTGCCGGATATGGCTGTTATCACTTTCTGAAGACGCCTTTTTGGGTGAAACATATGTCGGAGCGTCATTATGTCACTTCCGGGAATAGCTAAGTGAAAGCGAGGCTTGAAGTGCATGGCGGTCATCTTTTTAAAAACCTATATGCCTGAAACACTGGTGCTGGCTTACAAACACCTGTACAAGTGAATGGAGTATTTTTGTCTATGTGATTTCATTCATATTAAAGTACTACACTTAGATAAGCTATTCACTTGTCTGATTCATTCATTGGCTGGCTGCATTCCCGTGGGAGGAATATCTAAAACCAACCTAAAGTATATTACTGGAAAACCTATGTGTATCCCTTATATCTGGCTATAATCCATGGAGATTTAGAGGAAGAAAAATGGAGAATCCAACAAGTGAGGGTGGTTCGCTATATAACCAAAGGCACATTTGACCACCATAACTGGGGTCAAAGGATCTGGTGAGCGAGTCATCCACACTTCACGGTTATGAACACGTGGTGAAGATCAGTGACATTTTATATTTTTATTTTTTTTTACCCTCTTTGGAATTTTCTATTACTCTATTTTGGGACGGTTACAAGAGAGTCACTATATTCATGTTTTTTTTATTTACTTCACATGTTCACTATTGGTTGAATTGCTATAAGGAGGGGTTACAATATCTGGTCTAAGCACACTTACCCACCCATGGCCACCTCACCCTGAATGTGCCTGGTCTTGTTTGATCTCAGAAGCTAAGTACGGTTGGACCAGGTTAGATGGGGATGGGGGACTGCCTGGGAGTAGAGTAATAAACACAAGATAAGTATCACCTGAGTGTTATCTCAGTTTTTTGCATGGACCAAAATTGAGAACACTCAGGTGGTACTTATCTTGTATTTATTACACTATATGAAGTTAATTGTTTGGGCAAATGTAGCGCCTATCTATTTATATTTTATTTACATGTTATAAGCGTTAATCACACTAAATTAGGGGCAGCTTCACTACAGTTGGCCCAAATTTTGGGGGCCTTACACTATATAGAGTGATTAGTTATAGGTATTATTTGTATATACGCATCCCTTCTATATTGTATTTTTGATATATATATATATATATATATATATATATATATAACACCTATTCTATTTTTATTTCTATTTATTTCTATCCATTCAGTCTGAAGATTTACAAAGCCCTGCCACACAGAACAACCCAGTCTGTCAGGGCAAGAGACTTGATTTTTCTTTTTAGCCTTTTCACTTTCACTTACAGGCAGGGGCGGACTGACAACTCATGGGGCCCCCGGGCAATAGGGGATCATGGGGCCCCTGTGTTCTTGCCCAAACTCAAAAAAGCCTATGAAAAAGGTACCAGGGGCATCTCATGGGGCCCCCTACTGACCCTGGGCCCTCGGGCAGTGCCCGAGTTTCCAAATGGTCAGTCCGCCCCTGGTTACAGGTAATCTCCCGACCCCAACTTATTTATGACTGGACAGTGAAAGGAGAAGCAGCAGACTCATGAAGTCATTGCTGTGCATGATTGGCTCCTTGTGTTAACTTTTGCCTCTCCCAGTCTGATCTGTACCGTATAATGAATTGCAAGAGACTGATACCAAAAACCGGATTAAGGCACTTGCACTGCTTATTAAAATAACAATGAATATGGAGGGGCAGGGGTGGACTGACAACTCATGGGGCCCCCGGGCAATAGGGGATCATGGGGCCCCTGTGTCCTTGCCCAAACTTAAAAAAGCCTATGGAAAAGGTAACAGGGGCATCTCATGGGCCCCCTACTGACCCCGGGCCCTTGGGCAGTGCCTGAGTTTCCAAATGGTCAGTCCGCCCCTGTGGAGGGGTATTACGGAATTTAGTTTTAACATCTAAATCTGGGCCAACTGTAGGCAAAGGGGAGCTAGATGGTTATCCAGACCGCCACTTGATACAGATGGTGTCAGAGTTCTGCATGGAACAGGAGTTTTAAATGTAGGGGTCATACATACAACTCTAAATAACACTGGACACCAAATATTTTGCGTATTGAAAACTTTTTGGTGTATCTCAAACATTTTTAGCTGCTGCTATAATCACATCATGCAGGGGTGTCAAACTCAATTTTAATTACAGGCCCTCAAATTATGATTCCACTCAAAGGGCCAGTTGTATCTGTAAAAGTAGATGTCCAGAGCACCCCACCCCCCTTACATCAGATGTCAAGAGCAGCCCTACTATCAGAAGTCAAGAGTCCCCCTACCCTCCCTTACTTCACAGTGTGGGAAGAAGCAGGGGAGGAGAAAGTGCAGGGTCTGGAGGAGTAGCAGAGGAGGACTGGAGTCTGCTGAAAGTTGAGACGGGGGATGAGGTGGAGACAAGGGGGTGCAGTGACTGCACTGAGAGGCACGGGATCTGTAGCAGGAGTTCTGTCCTCCTTCCTACTGCCAACTGCTGAGACAAGGTTGGGGGCAGAAATGAGAGGGGTGCTGCATCCACAAGAGAGGTGAGAGGGCCTGGCATACTGGATTTGGCCCACAGGCCTTGCACTTGACACATGTGAAATCTTCAGTTTTGACAATTTGCAATGCCTGTTGGGTATACTGGGCACCTGAGAGAAACATATGAACACATGGAAGTGTTGTTGAAGCACATCCAGTACACCAAGTACAACTAGAATATCTGTGGAGATCTAATATAGTGGCTCTGCTTCTTGGAATGCAGCTCCAATATACCAAGCACTGTTACATATGTGAATGGGACAGCCATGCAAAAAGGTCACATTACAAGAACAAGAAATGGCCATTCTGAAAGTGGTTTCAAGACAAAAAAATGTGGCCATGGACCACTGGTTGACCTGACAAAGATATTTTTGCCTCCACTTCACATAAAATGCGGACTGATTAAACTTTTTTTTAAATGATTAACAAGGAATGTGAAGGTTTATATTATTTGAGACAGATGTTTCCAAGAATAACCGATGCAAAGATTAAGAAGCCATTTTTGTTGATCTACAGATGAGATACTTCATCAATGACAAGCGGCTCGAAGATCTGTTTGTGGGGACAGGGAGAGTCACCTGGAAAGCCTTCATGGATTTCATTGAGAGTTTTCTTGGCGACAACAGAGCTCCACCCACTCGGAAGGAAAATATATTTTAAAAATATGCTTCCCAAATACATTGACATATATTTGAAATACTAAAATTTTGGCCATATTCAATATATTTATATATATATATATATATATATATATATATATATCATGTTGAAATGCATTTTTTATATATTACAAAATATATGAAAAAATATCTTTTAACATTTATTTTTTAAATATATTCTTCAGATTTTTTTTAACATATAAAAAGTAATTTTAACATATTTTTACATATATTTGTAAATGCATTACACAAATGTAGATTAAATGCATTTTTTTAAGACATACAGTATATTTGAAAATGTATTTTTAATGAATGCAGGAAATTGATCTTCAGTGAAAAGTTGTACGTCATGGTCTTGTAAGAAGCCAGCCAACTGCCCACATGGAAGAAAAATATATTTGAAATATATTTAAAAAGTATTCTTCTCAACTATATTGACACATATTTGAAATACTACAATTTTGTCCATATTCAATATATTTATATATTGATATATTGATATATATATATATATATATATATATATAGCATGTTGAAATGCGTTTTTTCTATATTACAAAATATATGAAAAATATTTTTTAACTTTTTTTTAAATATATTCTTCAGATTTCTTTTAACATATAAAAAAGTAATTTTAACATATTTTTACATATATTTGTAAATGCATTACAAAAATGTACATTAAATGCATTTTTAAAGACATACAGTATATTTGAAAATGTATTTTTAATGAATGCAGGAAATTGATCTTCAGTGAGAAGTTGTACGTCATGGTCTTGTAAGAAGCCGGCCAACTGCCCACATGGAAGAAAAATATATTTGAAATATATTTAAAAATTATTCTTCTCAAATATATCACAAGACTGCTATATACTGCTGATGAGAAAAGGTATTTAGCAGTTTATATATACCAAAATTGTATTTCCATGTTGTGTGTACTGTGAGAGACCGAATATAGTGAATGCAGAGTCCAGGGAGACCAGATATAGTGAATGCAGGGTCTGGAGAAAGCAGATATAGTGAATGCAGGATCCGGGAAGACCGAATATAGTGAATGCAGGGTCCGGAGAAAGCAGATATAGTGAATGCAGGGTCCGGGGAGACCAGATATAGTGAATGCAGGGTCCGGAGAAAGCAGATATAGTGAATGCAGGATCCGGGAAGAGCGGATATAGTGAATGCAGGGTCCGGGGAGACCAGATATAGTGAATGCAGGGTCCAGGAAGAGCGGATATAGTGAATGCAGGGTCCGGAGAAAGCAGATATAGTGAATACAGGGTCCGGGGAGATCAGATATAGTGAATGCAGGGTCCGGGGAGACCAGATATAGTGAATTCAGGGTCCGGAGAAAGCAGATATAGTGAATGCAGGGTCCGGGGAGACTAGATATAGTGAATGCAGGGTCCGGGGAGACTGGATATAGTGAATGCAGGGTCCGGGGAGAGCGGATATAGTGAATGCAGGGTCCGGGGAGACCGGATATAGTGAATGCACGGTCCGGGGAGAGCGGATATAGTGAATGCAGGGTCCGGGGAGACCGGATATAGTGAATGCAGGGTCTGGGGAGACCGGATATAGTGAATGCGGGGTCCGGAGGGACCGGATATAGTGAATGCAGGGTCCGGGGAGACCAGATATAGTGAATGCAGGGTCCGGGGAGACCAGATATAGTGAATGCAGGGTCCGGGGAGACCAGATATAGTGAAATGCAGGGTCTGGGGAGACCAGATATAGTGAATGCAGGGTCCGGAGAAAGCAGATATAGTGAATGCAGGGTCCAGGGAGACCAGATATAGTGAATGCAGGGTCCGGAGAAAGCAGATATAGTGAATGCAGGGTCCGGGGAGACCAGATATAGTGAATGCTGGGTCCGGGGAGACCAGATGTAGTGAATGCAGGGTCTGGGGAGACCAGGTGTAGTGAATGCAGGGTCCGGAGAAAGCAGATATAGTGAATACAGGGTCTGGGGAGACCAGATATAGTGAATGCGGGGTCTGGGGAGACCAGATATAGTGAATGCTGGGTTCAGGGAGACCAGATATAGTGAATGCTGGGTCCAGGGAGACCAGATATAGTGAATGCAGGGTCCGGGAAGAGTAGATATAGTGAGTTCAGGGTCCGGAGAAAGCAGATATATAGTGAATGCAGGGTCCGGGGAGACCAGATATAGTGAATGCAGGGTCCGAGGAGAGCGGATATAGTGAATGCAGGGTCCGGGGAGAGCGGATATAGTGAATGCACGGTCCGGGGAGACCGGATATAGTGAATGCAGGGTCCGGGGAGACCGGATGTAGAGAATGCAGGGTCCGGGAGAGCGGATATAGTGAATGCGGGGTCCGGAGAGACCGAATATAGTGAATGCAGGGTCCGGGGAGACCGGATATAGTGAATGCAGGGTCCGGGGAGAGCGGATATAGTGAATGCAGGGTCCGGGGAGAGCGGATATAGTGAATGCAGGGTCCAGGGAGAGCAGATATAGTGAATGCAGGGTCCAGGGAGAGCAGATATAGTGAATGCAGGGTCCGGGGAGACCAGATATAGTGAATGCAGGGTCCGGGGAGAGCAGATATAGTGAATGCAGGGTCCAGGGAGAGCGGATATAGTAAATGCAGGGTTCGGAGGGACCGGATATAGTGAATGCAGGTACGGGGAGACCAGATATAGTGAATGCAGGGTCCGGGGAGACCAGATATAGTGAATGCAAGGGTCCGGAGAGACCAGATATAGTGAATGCAGGGTCTGGGGAGACCAGATATATAGTGAATGCAGGGTCTGGGGAGACCAGATATAGTGAATGCAGGGTCCAGGGAGAGCAGATAATAGTGAATGCAGGGTCCGGGGAGACCAGATATAGTGAATGCAGTGTCCGGGGAGACCAGATATAGTGAATGCACGGTCTGGGGAGACCAGATATAGTGAATGCAGGGTCTGGGGAGACCGGATATAGTGAATACAGGGTCCGGGGAGACCAGATATAGTGAATGCAGGGTCCGGGGAGAGAGCGGATATAGCGAATGCAGGGTCCGGGGAGACCGGATATAGTGAATGCAGTATATTAGTAATTAGTAGCATGTTAAATTTACATGTTTCCTCCCCCCAGACCATTCTTCCCCTTTATATATGCAGACGTTAAGGAGAACTTTTTGAAAGTACAATTCTTGTTAAAACCTTCAAGAGAATGAGCCATAACGACTTCCGCTGTGTTTTCTCTGGTGCAAACGATTTGCTTTATTGAGGCTTATTCTGGCAAGATTCGATTTGCTTTACATAAAAAAACATAAAATAAAATTGTAATACTTGACTTAATTACTTCCAGGCTGGGAGCGGCAGCCTCTCTCCATCGCAATTAAATATCAAAATCTCCTTATCTCTGAAGGCTCGCAAAAATAAATATAGTAGCTCGGGTGGCTTATGGGTTCATATGGGTTATTTATTAGTTTTAATAAATCGTGTTCATAGCGGCTTACGCTGAAGACCCATTTCATCATTAACTTTTACGGGTTTTACGGGTTTTTTTTTTTTTTTTCTTACATAAAAAAATATGATAATAAAATATTATATTAACCCTTACTGATAGGGCAGGATTTCTAGTACCAGGACTTGCCTCTGGGAACACCCAGTCTAATATCCATAGTACTGCATGATTTGTAAACTTTACCCAACAGGCCATCCAATAGGAAGCTGGCAGCCCAGACCGGCAGTCCACACCATGAATAGGTAACTGACTAGGAGCATAGTTGCCAACATTTCAAAAAAGTTTTTAGGAACACTTTTTTTTCCCTGTGTGTCCAGAAAGCCACTGTAGGTGGAGCATTGTGTTAATTAGGGGTGGGGCATTCATTTACTATGAGCGTGGATCCATAAGTAGGAGAAGTGAAAATGCGGAGCACACTACGACAAAAAGTGGGAGTGTTGGATGTGGATATACTGTTCCCTCCTGCCCCCCCCCCCCCCATGCTATACTTTTTCTCCCCCCCGTGCTATACTGTCCCCCTTCCTGCCCCATGTGTTATACTGTCCCTTCCTGCCCCTCCCGTGCTATACTGTCGTTGCTATACTGTTCCTGCCCCCCCCATTCTGTACTATCCCCTCCTGCCCCCCCCCCCCCCCATGCTATACTTTCCCCTCCTGGCCTCCCTGTGCTATACTGCCCCCCCCGTGCTATACTGTCTTGTCCTGTCCCCCCCATGCTATACTGTCCCCCTCTCAGCCCCCCGTGCTATACTGTCCCCCCTCCAACCCTGGCCCTCCCACTGTGCTATACTGTCCCCTCCTGGCTCCTCATGCTATATTATTGCCTCCTGGCCCCCCATGCTATACTTTCCCCTCCTGGCCACATCCATGCTATACTTTCCCCTCCTGCCCTTGCCCCCCATGCTATATTGTCCCCTGCTGCCCCCCCATGCTATACTTTCCCCTCCTGACCTCCCTGTGCTATACTGCCCCCCCCCCCCCCGTGCTATACTGTCTCGTCCTGTCCCCCCAGTGCTCATACTGTCCCCTATCATCCCGCCGTGCTATACTGTCCCCTCCTTGCCCCCCATGCCATATAGTCTCCCCTGCCAGCCCCCCCATGCTATACTTTCCCCTCCTGACCTCCCTAGTGCTATACTGCCCCCCCCCCGTGCTAAACTGTCTCGTCCTGTCCCCCCCGTGCTATACTGTATCCCTATCATCATTCCCACCGTGCTATACTGTCCCCGGGGGGGGGGGGGTGGCCCTTGCCCCCCATGCTATATTTGTCCCCCTGCTGCCCCCCCATGCTATACTTTCCCCTCCTGGCCTCCCTGTGCTATACTGCCCCCCCCCCCCCGTGCTATACTGTCTCGTCCTGTCCCCCCGTGCTTTACTGTCCCCTAGAATCAGCCCCCCGTGCTATACTGTCCCCTCCTGGCCCTCCCACTGTGCTATACTGTCCCCTCCTGGCTCCCCATGCTATATTATTGCCGTTTCCTGGCCCCCCCATGCTTATACTTTCCCCTCCTGGCCACATCCATGCTATACTTTATCCCCTCCTGGCCGCCCCATGCTATATTGTCCCCTCCTGCCCCCCCCATGCTACACTTTCCCCTCCTGGCCTCCCTGTGCTATACTGGCCCCCCCCCCCCCGTGTATACCTTTTTCCTGTCC